ATAGTTGTTTGTTGTGATGAGGTTTTGTTTCAGTATATCTGATATTTTATAAATAAAAATATGAAAATATTTAAAAAAATATAATTATAAATAAAAACACAAATATTCAACACAACCCAATTTTTCATTTCTTTTGGATTTGTTGTAATTTCCAAGTTTTTTTTGTTTAAATATAATTTATAGAGGCTATAGTATGTAAGTTTTGATGAATTTGAGGTGTTTTTTTTTAAGGGAGTTAGTTATGTTCTTTTGAGAAATAAATAAAAATTAATAATAATCAATGAAAAAGGCAAAAGAATTGGTATTCCAAATTTATTTATAAAATAAAATGAATTTGAAAAATTTTGGCTAAATTATCTATAATTTTTTAATTTTTAATAATTTTTTTACTGTTAATATTTATGATAATATTTGGATATATATATTTACCCATTAATTATATTGTTTATCGCCTCTAACTTGGCTTTGTAGAGTGCTCCAAAATGATCCAAAAAGCTCTTATCAATTTTTATCTGGAAGAGTATTTATAAGATTTTGGATATAAGATTTTAGAATACTCAATGGGAATCTACCTGTAGCCTGCGCCAAAATAAAAACAGGCTGTGCCTCGCTGAAAATCGCATGGGGTGTATAGTGGACAGTGGACACAGAGTTCGTGTCGGAGATTTTGGACCAAAATGCAATTTTGGTGCTGCATTGGAAAACTGTTCTGGTCTCTCATCTTTCATCAATTGACACTTTGATTCTCATTTTTTTTATTTCTTCAGTTTGGTCCTAAAAATTACAATTTTTAATTTTTTTTTATTTTCTTTTTATTAACTACTTTGATTTATATTTTTAAGACCATGTTGTTAAACCAAAATTATGAGAGATCGATAACGGTAAATTTTTTATATTAAAATATGATTTTATTAATTTAAATTATTATTTAGATTTTATTCATATTTGTTTGAAAGATTTATAATTATTGCATGCTTTAGTTTTATATAATTAATGTTTCTGCGAGATGAAGGGACATTATCAACATCAAAGACTTAGCACACTTTCACCTCTCTAATCAATACTCATATTATCTTCCCTCAACCTTGTTTTTGTCTTATCACCTAACATGTACAATTCCAATAGGATCAAGGTGGAATAGGATTGGGAAAGGATATACAATTTTGGGTTTTTTTTTTTTTTTTTTTAAGTTTTTAACATTTTCCTTTAGCTATAACTATTGTGGGGGTTATGGCACCTGAATCCACTGTCATCAATGGACCCTCCTTCATTTCTGGATCCAAGTGCTCCTCTTTCATGCAACACAATCGAAATTTGAAATGATCAATGAAATTTTCATCCAAAAGTAATCATTTCCCGTGTCGTGTAGTCCTCAATTGTTTCAATCCATCCATTTTTGGTGGAATTTACAATTCGAGATTGCGGAGACCTGGCATTGTTGGCAGCAGAGCTCATCTAAGATCGTTAAGTGAAGAAAATAATGATCTGGGTGGTGACCAAGGTGAGGTTTTAGTAGGCCTGGATTTGAAGTCTTTGAAGATTTTTCTAAAGCAAGGAGTCTTTATTTGGCCAACGCTTTGTTGTCTTTTGGTTTTCGAGTGCAAGAGAGTGCTTGCGACGGAGGGAGTGGTGAATGCAGGGTACGAAGTGGTTGTCAATGGCAGAGACTTCTATAACTACACTGTGGCCATGGAGGGTTTGCTTTCTTTGTCCTGTGATTTCGGCTTCAGTCCCTCTCTCCCACTTGGTCACTTGCTTTTAGCAACATCTTCCTCCCACCCGAACGGAAGTAACCTCCCTTCTGTGAGATGAAGGGACATTGTCAGCATCATAGACTCAACTCACTTTCACCTCTTTAATATCATCATGGTCAGTTGTGCATATGACACTGTCTCTGGACCATAAATTCTCCAATATTGGAGTCTGAATGGCCTGAACCTGGGTATTCCTGCTCTGCATACTGACTTCTCTTTTGAGTGTGCATTGAAGAGGCAGCTCTGACTGAAAAAGAAAGGCTGTATGAAAATCCCATGGGCCTACGCCTTTAATAGGTAGGAATTTCACTGGATTCAATCTGATTCGCGTGACAGGTAATGCCAGAATTGGAGATTCAAACCACAAAATCCTAGGGCGCACCGTCGATGTCTCATTTTGGCTTTCCCGCCGTTTTGGTTACCTTCTATTTTGGTAAATGTAGAGAATTTGACACTGTAACCATATCATCATCTTTAATATATATATATATCAATCCTTATTATTAATTAATTATTATTATTATTATTATATTTTATATTTTAT